CGAAATTTCAATTAAAAAATTACCAAAAACTGTCAGATAGGAATATAAGACAAGATTTGTGTGTGTGTATATATAGTATTGAAAATGTTCTTGCAACCATCTAAAATATATATATATATATATATATATATATATATATATATACACGCATATATATATATATATCAGGGATTTGCAATAATTAAGATAAGTACTTGGCTTCCTGGATGTACTATAAAATTGAAATAAAATGGGATTTTTGAATCAAATATCTTCTAATTATAATTCAAATAAATCTCTTGGGAGGAGTGAAACCTTCTGGGGTATGAACAACCTGCCATAGCCAGTAATCATGGGCACTGAATAGCTAATGGTCAGGGGGTGCTTTTGTTCGGAACATCAACTGTGAAGTTGAGGAAGGTTATGGAATTCTAATACAGGGATAAAGGCCTCTCCTACTTTGGAAGTGATTGGAATCCCAGAAGCTCAAAGGGTGGTTAGGTCCAGGTTTTTCATTCCCTGTGGTTTTCACTGACTCCCAGAAAGCTCAAAGGAATCAGTAAGATCCTCCTGGAACTGTGTCTTTCTCAAAAACCTGAGCAGATTCCAGATCTGTATTGCATACCCAAAGGTGAAAATAGCTACAGAAAGCCTCTCAGCTACCGGAAGTTTGTCAGCCCCACTTGTTTCAATGGTTCTTCAAGCCACATCCTGTCTGGGGACTTGTACTTGGAGCTGACAGCGTTCCTTCCCAGGTACTTTCCACTCCACAGGTCACCTTTAGGACTTCAACAATAGTAGAATCAAATTCACAGGGAATTCAGTTGCACCTCTAATATAAAGCCCTGGAAGCAGTGTGTTTCTAACGTCTCTTTAGTTAGAAAGCATTTTGGCTACATTGAGAATATTTTCTGTTGTGAATGTGAATGTTGTTTTCATCATCAGAGGCATTATTGCCTTTTATTCTGCACTTTGAAGATTTCTGATCCATGGCTGAATATTGCAGGGATATAAGATGGTCCTTCAGAGCCAAGGTGTTGTTTTTGGTCTTGATTTAGTTTAAGACAGACTTAACATGATGTTTTTCTATCAAAGTGAGAAAAACAAAACACAAAATCAGGCACTTCTGTTAGGTCTGCATTTCATCTCTTGTGTTCACTTCCAAGTAATTTAAAAAGAAAAAGGGAGGAAGATAGGGAATGAGGGAGGGGAAAAAAAAGGAAGGGAGGGAGGGAGGGAGGGAGGGAGGGATGGAGGAAAAAAGGGAGGGAGGAAGGAAGGGAGGAAGGGAGAGATAGGTTAAAAAGAAAAATAGAAATAATGAATACCGAAATTCAGTTTGTGATGTTCCTGTGACTCTTTTTTAAATATTTGTATTTCATCTGCTGCAACTTAAGAGGCTAAATATTGTTCTGATGTTATTTTTATAAGAGTTGCAGCAGAAAAAAATGGAAGGCTGGTTTTTTTTTTTTTTAATTTGGCAAAATCTGTACAAACTGTTGCTGAAATCGTACATGGCCTTGGTCAGTGGAAATGCAGCCTGTTGATGAGCATTTGATTTTTAGCTACTTGTAATATTGGATGATGATTTCTTTCCCCTTTATTCGTTGGAGTAAAGATCTTGGCTTTTATTGGTAGAGCTGTCAGGGACTGAAAAACATTGACAAAGATTCGTTGCTTGACCAAACTTTAGACAGGCTCCTGAACCTTCTCCTAGGCCCATCTGTACACTTCCTTGTAAATTCCAGTTTTAGCAAGAACCCTGCCAAGTCAGTTTAACCAGAACCCCCTATAACCTTGATATCTGATCACCTTTGATATCTCATCCGCCACCATCCCCCAGGTGATGTCTGATTACTCTGGTCTGTCTTCAGCAAAGAATCTTGTTAGGTCAGTTTAGCCAGAATCCCCTTCATTTCTGATATTTCTCTTAAGTAATTTTCCATCCACTGGCCCTAACCCTACTCCTTGCCTATAAATTCCCACTTGCCAATGCTGTATTTGGAGTTGGGCCCAAACTCCCTCCACACTCTACAATCCTATTGTAGTGTCCCCTCTGTCTGTTGTAGTGGGTCCTGGTATAAGGTCTGCCTTACCATCTTTGACAAGTGTTGCTGATTTTTTTTTCTTTAACAACATTGGGGGTGTATTCAGTTTTACAGGCAAAATTTTAAGATTGGCTGTCAGTGGGCAGCATCTGGTTTTCAGAAATGTTTTGATTGGCTTTTATTGTGTTTTGAAAATGGAATGAATTGCCAATACTTAAAAGTTAGGAGCTATCATATAAAAGTCCAACGTTTTAATTTCTTAAAAAAAATCTGAAGGATTGATAATATGAGGAAGACAAAGGCTGGCTGATGCAAGTTAGGCGCTGCTCCCTTTGGACTGAGCAGGCTTTCCCTTGCTCTCTTCAGTACCTCTGCAGCTAGCTTCTTTGGCTGTTTCCTCTACCTGGATGTGTAGGTATTTGCATCTGCAGTTCCTTCATTGTATTTTACTAAGTGGTTAGTATTTCATGGTGTTACCACGTTTCTAAAGATAGTTCTACAGTTAACTGTTCTTAAGTATATGAACTTATAAGGATCTGGGAACTCATAAGAAAAGCGAGAATTATTATGTATGATATAATCTTAAAGGGTTATGGATTGACATTATTCTGATTCTTATTACAACAATTCATGTAGGTTTCATGGAACTCCAGTATTTGTGCCTACCTGTGTGCATGATTGTGACTAGGTCTGTGAATGGAGTGTTTTTGTTGTTTTTTTTTTTTTAATTGATGGTGTGATTTAGCTATATCTCAAGAAAGTAACTTACTCAAATGTAATTATTGAGAAATGAAAATGCTGAGATTTTGGAAAATTAGTTTTTGGTCAAAGAATGCATGCTATGAGAGAATGGGTCTATGTTTTTTAAGTAGAAAAAGAAACAGATAAGGATTTTGCTTACATACCTGAAAACATAATTTAATATTTGAATTTGTCTTTGGCCAAATTAAAAAGCAAATAAGCAAATAAAAGTGAATAAAATGTCTACCCAGGGCCAAATATTTATGCCTATACAGTATGACTTGACTCTAGAAGCAGTCTGTGGTCTCTACTTCTTTTTTCAATAAGGACTTTATAATAGTAATTCTTGTTTTATGAAAACTGTGTTAGCTTGCCTTATTGAAGGCTTCTAACTATTTGCTTGGTTTGATTGTAAGATTGTATACCTTAAAGTTTAATTAATACAATGACTGAAAAAATGTTTGCCTTTAGAGGATAAAATTAAAATAATTTTTCACCTTGAACCTCATGAAGGAAAGGTGAATACAAGCTAAATGAATTACATTGAAAGGATTAAGTTAAAAATAGAACACTTAAAGAAGTTTGATGTAAACTTTTGACTTATTAGGGAGTTCATAGGAAAATTAGATAATCATTCAGTTTTTTTTGAAGCAGAAAAAAAAATACTGTATATGTCTGAATATAATGTGAACCCAAGATTATCTAATTTTCTGAGGTTTTGAATATATAAAATCTTTAGACATGTAAATAAAATGGCCAAATGGCTACTTACTTTTATATGTATTAATTTACCTCCTCATATATATTTTAAAATTACATATTACATAAAATATTAATTTAGAAATAGTGCTTTCCCCCACCCTTATAGTTCATTACCTAATTATTCAAATTCTCCACATGTGATCTGCCACTAGTTTCTTGAGCCAAAGTAAAGACAAATTCATCACTGTTTGAGTCATCTCACCCAGTTTTCTAGCAAACATATCTGCTTAATTTTTTTGAGATTCAGTACTTTTTTGATTCAAATATTGTTCTGTTGCTGTAAACAATATGCCAAACTACAGGCACCATAATAATGGTACAAAATAGAGGGACATTTAAAAAATTTTTCCTCTGGGTAAGTACTTTTGATCTCCAGCATGTACCCAAAAGAGTGCTCTTTAAAGTTATATTAGTAGGCTTTCACACAATCATATCCAACATTTGCAATTTTAAGAAATAATTATTAAGTCTGTTTGGAATTTTTGTTTAAAAAACAGGTTTTGTATATTACATCTATAAAGCATTCAAAACTAGCAATGTGGAGGATTTTTTAGCCTATTGTATTTTCTCCAGACAAACCTTTGTTTTACATAACAAAGTAATACAGAGATTTAGATAAGGATTTGACTCTGAGGTGACTCACCCTTTGTTTAGAAATATCCTTGGGGGAAGAAAAAAATCTGCCTCATGTTTGAACATATATGATACTGTCATTTTCCTTCTCCCTTTCAAGGTTATTCTTTAAATTTTTACTGAAGTGCAATAGAATATAAAAAGTAGATAACCTGGAGGCGGGAAGCATCTTTTATTTAATTGGCATGTCAAGGTGATGGTATTAATTTTGTGAGCTTTCTTATCCTAGTGTATATTACAATCATTAAAATACTAATTTACTAAAGATATATTCCTATAACAAAGATAGCAAGTGAGTAGATAAAAAAGATACGCTATGTGTTAGACATTGTCTATGACTGTGTCTATAGTTGTATAATAGTAGTTCTGTAGATTTTCATTAGGAGGTCGTTAATTTGGCAGGAGATGACATCCTTATCATTTCCTGAAGACCGTGAACTTTACCATTAATCACAAACTACAGAAGAGGAAAACAGCTGGTGTTTTTATAACAGAAGGTGATGAAGGAGATGATAGAGCTTGGAAATATGAGAGGATCTAGAATTTATTATGGTTAGTGGTTTCTGTCTTGGCTAGTCACTAAAATGCCTACTTTTAAGAATGTAAGAAAAGTAAAGTGGCAAATATTATTACTTCCATATCACCTATAAAAAATCTATTAGTATAACATTTTGCAGGAAAGGATAACTTATTTTGGGCTTCCAGTTTTGCACTGAAAAAAACTATGTCATTAATTTATCAAAAATGTGATAAAATATGCCAATATTTTAGCAATAAGCTTAGCAATAAACTATACCAATGAACATAATGATAATTATCACTTTTATCTCTTAACAGTGGAAAGAGTGGAACGAGAAAACCTTTCAGACTATTGTGTTCTGGGCCAGCGTCCGATGCATTTACCAAATATGAATCAGCTGGCATCCTTGGGGAAAACCAACGAACAGTCTCCTCATAGCCAAATCCACCACAGTACACCAATCCGAAACCAAGTGCCCGCGTTACAGCCCATCATGAGCCCTGGTCTTCTTTCTCCCCAGCTTAGTCCACAGCTTGTCAGGCAACAAATAGCCATGGCCCATCTGATAAACCAACAGATTGCTGTTAGCCGGCTCCTGGCTCACCAGCATCCTCAAGCCATCAACCAGCAGTTCCTGAACCATCCACCCATTCCCAGAGCAGTTAAGCCAGAGCCAACCAACTCTTCTGTGGAAGTCTCTCCAGATATCTACCAGCAAGTCAGAGATGAGCTGAAGAGAGCCAGTGTATCCCAAGCTGTCTTTGCAAGAGTGGCATTCAACCGCACACAGGTACAATTACCATTGACTATGAACACTAACTGGTGGTTAAGAATAATAGTAGGTTCATCCATGCTGTTGCAAAAATGTAAACACTTCTTTCCTTTTTTTCTTTTTAACTGCTGCATAGAATTCCATTGTGTGAATGTGGGCTTGGGCTAGGGAGAGGGAGAAAAAGCGGGAAAAACTGTAACAGCATAAACAATAAAAATAACACACACAAAAAGAATTATGATAGGGATGAAATTGTGACACATTTTTGTTTTTATTTCTTAAAAAGTTTTTATGGGTCTCGGAGCACATATAATTAGATTAGTTGGTAATGCTTAGTTTATGAACTACTATCGCCATTGATCCATGCATAGCTATAACTAATTAATCAATTTCAGCAACATAATGAATGTATCTGAACTCACCAATTCAGGACCCAAAATCTTACCAATGTCTTGGGTCTATGTGCTCCTTTCCTCCCTCCTCTCGTCATCTGCTTTTTTCTCAGAGATGTAACTCTGATCTTGATTTTTGTGGTAATCATTGCCTTATTTTTTAAAAAGTAGTTTTAAAACTATTAATGCATGCCTAGTATAGTATTACTTTGATTTTGAACTTTATAAAAAGTATCATTATGTGTTATAATTTCTATAATTTATAAACCCTTCAAATTATACAAGTTAGGTTTAAGATACTAATAAAGTGGTGATGAATATTTTATTCATATTTTTAATGTTTTAGGGGAATTATATGCCAATACAATATTAAATGATAGAAAGATAAACAGTTTATTTATGTATGTCTTATTTTATTGAGGGGGCACTTCTAAGTAAGAGACTCTTTTCTGTCAGTGGTTCTTAGACTTAAGTGCACAACAGCACATCAGCATCACCTGGAAGGCTGTTAAAACACAGATTGCTGGGCTTCATCCTGGTTTCTGATTCAGTAGGTCTGGGGTGGCACCCAGAAATTTGCATTTCTAATAAGGTCCCAGGTGATGCTGATGCTATCGATCTGGGAGCCATACTTTGAGAACCACTAATCTAGCTCTTTTTTTAGTAGCAAAAAAGTAAAAGTGCTAATTTCAAGGAGCTAAGGACCTTGTAGTGAAACAAGAAATGAACCCAAATAACTAAAGTAAAATGTGAAGTATAGTGACTAGTACAGAAGATGTAAGCAATTGTTGTAGTGGGTATTCATGGAGAGTTGGGGGTAAGGAATACTTACAGAAGAATGAATATGGTAAGTCTTTAAGGGGACAGTGGGTTTAAGTTGAGCCACCTACTAAATAGAAGGCAGGAATCTAAGCTCTGTGCAAGTGCAAAAGTAAAAAAACTATGGGCCAACACACATGCAAGCAACTGACTTGAATGTTAGGTTGCTACAGGGTTAGACCTTGAAGGATAAATAACATTTAACAGGCAAAGGGTGTAGAAAGAAGGATATTTTAGACTAAAGGAATTCATGAGACAAGTGTTGCATCAAAAATATGGTAGTTGGTAGTTAGTAGCAAAGCTACGTAATAAAACTTTGATCTGGAGGGAACAGATCAAAAAAAGTCTTTGGGCCATGGTAAGAACTTTGAACATTAACAGGCACTGGAAACCATTGAAAATTTAATGTAGAAATATGCTGTGGGCCAATAACCAGAATGGGATTTTAGGAAGATTTCCTTTCCTTTTGTGATAGCAAGAGGGTAGGACTATCATTTACAAGGCTGCCCTAAGTGTCCAGCTGAAATGAGTAGTTTTGAACTAGGCTGACAGCAATGGAGTAGAGTCAAGAAGCATTGTGGAAGCAAAGTTGATAGAAAGGGCAGCCACGTGAATAGGTGAAGAGGGAAGGAATAAACATTATGCCAATGTGTGAGCCTGGTGACTGACAGTAAAACTTTAATTAGTGAGAGAATCAAGGATGATATTGATAGAGATGGTTGGGGGGAAAGTTAAAGTGATTATTTTAGATTGGGCTATTTTGACTTTGAGGTGCAGGCAGATTTCTTAAAGAGAAGATATGTAGCAGTCACTGAAAATAGGAGTTTGGTGCTAAGAAGAGTAGTCAGGGATAGAAAAAGAAATTTGAAATTTATTTACAGAGCCTGGGATTTAAAGAGTCAAGGAAATGAGGGGACAAAACCATCCCACTACTCCCAATAGGAAGAGACTGAAGAAATGCCAGGAGAGATGGGGCAGGTGAAGATAGAAGGATGGGGACACGGCAGTGAGATAGATAGAAGACATGAATAGGGTTTCCAAGAGACTGGTTCATGTGCGGAAACATAAGAAGTCTGGGAGGGAGAAGCTTGAACCCATGCCCTGAAATTTGGTGATGGGTTGGTAGAGATCTTTGCAATCTTTAAAGTATAATTTCATTAGAGTGGTAAAGGCAGGAGCCAGAATTCAGGAGTTAAGGGGAGATTAACTCTTTAGGTACAGAGACAGGCGCAAATTACTGTTTCCCAAATTTGGTGTCGAAAGGGAGGCCAGGAGTGGGTTGACAGTTTGAATGAGATAAGAATCAGTTTGAGATAGAAGGGTTTGTGAGGCAGTCTGGGGCCTCAGCTGAAGCTAAACAGCATGCACGAGTGATAGAACCAACCACCGAGGCTTGATCCCAGTCTTCAGCAGTGCTGCAGCTACAGCAGTGGGAGCAGTAGGGTTGTTTGAGGTTTGGTGCTGACAGATTAAGTATGGCAGGAGACCCAGAGAGGTGAAATTTCTTGCTCCCTTGACTCTTAGCAAATTTATACATTCTGTTATTGACCGCGTCTGTTTACATCATTTGAAAATGAGTTGGGAGGTTCACAGAGGTCTGCAGAGCTCCAGACGTCACTCCATCACTTCTCTCTTGTGACTCAGTACTCAGACAGCACTTGGGTGTCCACAGTTACAGGGACTGGGGTTATGAAAATCTCTGGTCCTTTTGAGCAAGCCTGTTGCATACTGTGACAGAATACAAAGTGGAAAGATGCATCTTTTAGTCTGTATTTGCATTTCTATGTGTGTGTGTTCTTTTATTTATCATTCACGTTCATTAATAGGCATTTCATGGCTAGCCAACATTTTATTGCCTGGTTCCATATGCAGCTCCTTTGGCTAAGGATAAAATTGAAAGCATGGTTGCATTACTTTGGACTAAAACCAAATACAGTATACCTTTCTTCCAAATAGCATGAAGCGTAAGGGTGGACTCACAATGAGCCCAGACAAAAGACAGGCCGTGCTGGTGTGAGGGAGTGCCCTGCCAAGGCCCAGACTTTGAAGGTCCATCTTCTCCTGCACATTCCTTTTTGTCTTTTTTTATGGATTAATGATTTTTCTTTGGCATTGCCATCTTTCAAGTGCCAAGTTATAAAAGGTCTAATTGAAACATGGAACACATTTTATTTTTTTCTTCCTGCCATTAAATTTGTAAGATGGCTACACCCAGAAAGAAACATTCACTTTCAATCAACATGAGCTGGAGCTCATGGGCCAGCCTTGAGGATATCAAATGGAAACTGCATAGGAATGTATGAGTATTTCCTTTTAAAATTCTGCTTTTAATTTGGGAAAGCTTTTCATCCCTCTGGGATCATAACCTGTTGTGTATAAAGCCCAACCTAATCAAGGTAGATGGTATTGACAGAATGACATAGTTTGAACTTAAGCTGGAGGTCAGCAGGCAGATTGTTTTCGCTGTATATACTGTCGTGACTAACAGCAAGGTTGGACAGCTGGGTTTCACCAGCAGCATTGTTAAATGGAAAATACAGTGTACTATGCTCTATGAAACCAACCATGGGTTTTCCAAATGTTAGGCTTTTTTGGAGTGGAATCAGACATTTATGGGTGATATAATAATTTGTCAGCTATAATAAGCAAATAAAGATTAACTTTTATAGATAATAACAAATGAATTGTTAGTCTTTGGACAGAAGAGAACCTCCATATTTTTTCCCTCTCAAAACAGACAGAATAAGAGCTGTTATTTTAGATGGATACCTAAGGCCAATATCAGTCTTGTACTCAGTTGCTTTATTGATATGTATCATTTCCTCAGTCCAAGGAATATTTTCCAGAAATAGTTCATGGGGTCTATTATTTATTTACTATCAAATTCAAGGAAAAGCAATTTTTCATCCTACAATTTGTGTTCCTGGATTCAGTCTTAACGAAGAATAAGTCTAGCAGTTTGTGTGTTTGTGTGTAGAAGATCACATGCATAGCATTTATAGATGATATTAGAATTATACAAAAACGTATCAGTGTAGTTTTCCATGTTTAAGACTCCTAGATGAAGAACTCACGTTCATAACAAACAGCATTGGAGAACATCCGTTCTCCAAAGAGAAACTGTTCATTACTTTATATATATGATCCATTGCCACTCTTAAGTATGTCATTTGGTGACATAAAATAACATAATTAAGGAATAAAGCTATACTTCTGAGAGGTTGCTTTTAATACATTTCTTTATTAATCAGTATGTCTTTCAAAACCATTCTATACATTTGCTTGTTAAGATGATGCCCTATACACACCTCACGACAAGGTCATGACTCCTGCTGGAGTCAGAGGCAGACAACCTGTTACCGATCTTACTTTATTATTTATTAGTTTTGTATTCATCTGTTGGTTTGTTAACACAAACATACCCTGTCTGAACGAAGACCATAAAGTTAAGCCACATGTTCTGGGCAAGGGAAACAGCACATGTGAGGCCATGCAATGCCAGGAGAGCGGATCTTCAGCATAGGTATGAAACTGTGTCCCGGATGCAGGGCGTGGCAGAGGGTCACATCTGTCTCTGCCATCAGGAGGGTAGAAGCCTATTTTTGTCATTATGACCTTCTATATAAAATATAGTCTTATATCGAAAAATAGTATCACTTTCTTCTTTACAGTCCTTTGAAAGAAAAAGTTAGCCCTGCTTTTCATGTCTGAAGACTGCTAGGACACGTGGGGACCACTGAGGATGGTAAGGGAAAAGTGATAAGATGCTTTCTGACCTGGTCAGTAATATTCAGGCAGTCCTCGGAT